CAGTCCTGAAGGATATGGGTCAGGTAAGGAGTATAGTTAAGCCCCTGAACTTCAGAAAAGCAAACTTCCAGCTCTTCAAGGAGATAGTCAATAGGGCACCCTGGGAGACTGCCCTCAGGGACACAGGAGCAGAACCGAGCTGGCAGATTTTTATGGAAGTCTTCCATAGAGTTCAACAGCTAGCAATTCCCAGAAGCAAGAAACTGAGCAAGCAAGGCAAGAGACTGGATGGCTGAGTAGGGAACTCCTGGCCAAACAGAAGGGAAAGAAACAAAGAGGCAGTGGAAACAAGGACAAGCAACGTGGGAAGAGTATAGGGATGAAGATCAGTTGTGCAGTGATAGTCTGGGGAAGGCTGAGGCAAAGCTGGAACTGAACCTGAAAAGGAATGCAAGGAGTAACAGGAAGGTCTTCCATAGGTAGGTTAACCAGAAAAGGAAGGACAAAGAAGGTGTACCCTCTACCATAAACAATGCTGTCGAACAGCTAACAATGGACAAGAAGAAGACTGAGGTACTTAACAGATTTTTTGCCTCAAATCTTCAATGGCAACCTCTCTTCCCACACCTCTCAAGTGGATGGATGACAGGATGAGGACTGGGGCAGGCAAGTGTTCCTCCCACTGTATGCAAAGATAAGGTTGACAAATACCTGAGGAACATAAACATACAGGAGTCTATGTGATCTGAAAAGATGTATCCCAGATTCCTGAGAGAATATGCTGATGTAATCCCTAAACCACACTCTGTGGTATTTGAAAAGCTGGTAGTCAGGCAAAACCCCATGTGAATGGAAAAAGGGAAACATTGTACACATCTGTAAAAAGGGCAGAAAGGAAGACCCTGTGAACTACCAACCTGTCAGCCCCACTTCTGCGCCTGGGAAGATCATGGAACAGATCCTCCTAGAAGCTGTTCTAAGGCACACAGGGGACAGGGAGGTGATTTGGGACAGCCAGCACAGCTTCACCAAAGGGCAAGTCCTGCCTGACCAATCTAGTGGCTTTCTATGATGGAGTGACTCGCTCTTCCCTGGGAAAGGGCGAGGATGTGATTTATATGTAAATGCTTTTGAAATGTAAGGCTTTTGACAGTCCTACACAACACCCTTCTCTCCAAACTGGAGAGTGATGGATTTGACAGATTAGATGGATTAGGAATTGGTTGGACAGTTGCATCAAGAGGGTAGAGATCAACAGCTGAGAGTCCCAGTGGGCATCAGTGACCAGTGGTGTCCCTCAGGGGTCTGTACTGGGACCAGTGTTATTTAATGTCTTCATTACTGACACAGACAAAAGGATCAGGTGCACCCTCAGCAAGCTTGCAGATAACACCAAGCTGATTGGTGCTCTTCACTCACCTGAAGGATGGGATGCCACCATAGAGATCTGAACAGACTCAAATGTGGGCACATGGGAATCTCATGAGGCTTAACAAGACCCAGTGCAAGGTGCTGCACCTGGGTTGGGGCAAACCCTGGTATCAACACAAGCTGCGGGATGAAGGGATCAAGAGCAGCCCTGCTGAGAAGGACTTGAGAGTGAAGGTGGACAAGAGCCTGGACGTGACCCAGCAATGGCACAGCCCAGAAAGCCAGTTGTATCCTGGGCTGCATCCAAAGGAGCGTGGGCAGCAGGATGAAGGAGGGGATTCTGCCCCTTTGCTCTGCTCTGGTGAGACCCCACCTGCAGTGCTGCATCCAGGTCTGAAGTCCTCTACACAAAAAAGGACACAGACCTATTGCAGCAAGTCCAGAGGAGGCCACCAAAATGGGACAGAGCACCTCTCCTTACAAGGAAAGGCTGAGAGAACTGGGATTGCTCAGTCTGGAAAAGAGAAGGCTTCAGGGTGACTTAATTGTGGCCTTCCAGTACCTGAAGGGAACATACAAGAGAGAGGCTATTTACAAGAACATGTAGTGACAGGACAAGGGTGAATGGTTTCAGACTGAGAGTAGATTTAACTTAGATATTAGGAAGAAATTCTTTACTGTGAGGGTGGTGAGGCACTGGAACAAGTTATGCAGAGCAGTTGTGGACAGCCCATTCCTTGAAGTGTTCAAGGCCAGATTGGATGGGGCTCTAAGCAGCCTGGTCTAGTGGAAGGTGTCCCTTCCCACAGCAGGGGATTTGATCTTTAATGTTGTTTCCAATTCAAGTCATTCTATGATTCTATAACAAAACAAAATGTACACACAAGACAATGGTCCCTGGCTCTGAAAGTCCAGTCTTATAAACAGATAAAAAATGGATCTAGACAGAGCAGTGGAGAGCACTGAAAGACTACATATTACTTATCATATACCAAAAGTAAGCAGTATTTCTTGCAGCCTTAAATAGGAAGGATTAGGAATAATTTTAAAATCAAATGAGATTGTCAATCTGAGCAACATGAAAATCAGAATAAAATGACAGACAATGGATTAAGGATGATGTAGATTAAAAGCCATGTTCTAAAGTGAGATTTTGAAAACTCACTGTGAATTCAAGAACAATTTTTAAGTTTGTGCTGAAAGAACATGAATCTGGAGAAAAAAGGAAGCTCTACGAGACTCTGGAAGAAAGTGATTGAGTTACCAAAAGCTACTCAAAAACATGCTATTCCTGGATAAGAAAAAAAGCACAAGCAAACTTCTGTGAGCCCCACAGAAAAAGCATGAAGTAATGAAAAACAGCCTCTCTGAAGAATACAATGGAAAGCAAGGAGGTAATCAAAAGACACAGGCAGGAAACAAAGGTGGAACAACACTTCAAAAGCAGCACAGCTGATAGTGATAATGTAGTCGACAGAAAAATGGAAAATTAGGCACTGGATCTGAACATAAACTGGGAAAATATCACCATAAACACTGATTACAATTGCAGCAGAGCACAACTGAAGCCACAGTGGAGGACAAGAGCCCCAGACAATGCACTCAAAGAACTTTGAGATAGAAAAAGGAAATTAACAGGTAGTTGCAAAGATAAGAGAGGCCACAAGCATTTTGTACTTTTTTTTTTTTTAAGAGAAACACTTATTTCTACTGGCATTATGAAGGAAAAGAAAAGACAAAGGAGTTGAGCAACTGATTGAGGGAAAGAGGTAGAGGAAAAGAACACAAAGGTCAAGGGAGATAAGGAGATATTTTTGTAAGGTGCCATAAAGGCAGATGAAACGGTTAAGAGGAAGAGGAAAAAAAATTTTTTACTTGTAAGGAGGAGATGATTGTAACAGTTGGAAGAAAGTGCTAAAGGGTAAGCCAAAGCATATTCAATCAGAAAGTCAAAGATTCCATGCAGAGAAAGAACTAGACGTCAAACAAGATGCAAAAACCCACATAAAAATGTGGATAGCGGGCTGCTATTATTGAACAAGTCTGATTAGAGCCTCTCAACACAGCATGTTTTAGCACAGCTGGGCTTATGTCCTTTGCACAAACAGGGACACAAAATGGATCAGTGGAGGATAACTCAAGCGGTTCAAGAACTTGTAAAAAAGGTATTTGCTATTGGGAAAACCAGAATCCCAAGTGAAAGACACACCCTACACACAGTAAAAGGGGAAAATCAGGCTGGAGAGATACAAATTCAAAATACTGGTGAACTACCAGACAAATGAAAGCATGGCCACATTGTGAGTAGAATCCAAAACGGTGGTGGAGAGCCTGAAAGAAACCTTGCAATTATCAGAGATAAGAAATTCAGCAGTTGCATCAGAAGAAGCACGCAGGCATGGCTCGATGAAAACCAAATGAAATTAACTGACTATGTTTAATGAGAGACTAGAAACAAGAATGCAAGCCAAATCAAGTTAGGGCAGAGAAGCATGTAATTACTGTCAAAGAACAGTTGAGTGAAAATTTAGAACAAACCGGGAATCAAACTTACAGAGAAAAAGCTCATGGGGAGGAAACAAGCACGCTGTATGTAACAATACAGAGGAAAGAAGATAAAAACTGGATCCCAACACTGTTTAGAAAAGGAAGAACCTGAAGGCAACAGGAAAAAGTAGTTCTATGCCTCTTCCATGGTCTGACCCAGGACAGAGAACAATACAAAAAAGATAACCATAAAAAAAGCAATGCAAGATACTGCTGATGGCAAAGCAAGGCACATAACTGTGGTTTTAAAGCATCAGCTTCTGCCTCAGGAAATCAAGAACAGTCAGTGTGTTCATTCTCAATCAGGCAGTTGTGAATAAAGCTTTTTCCTTTGTCCCTGATTTAATTTTACCTATTTCTTCTTACTCATTGTATGCTCACGCTCTAGAGAAAGTAAATTATCAGTGTCATTTGTGAATGCTGAACTCATCAATACTAAACCCACACATATTTCACTCAATGCTTACAGACCTTTGTGCAATTCTGCTCTATCCATTTTATTTTGTAAGGACTGCAAATTCTCCTACCGTTGTGTAATATGTATTATAGTGCAGAGTAACTCACACTGGAAGGAGCCCTTGCTGAAAGCAGAGCCAACTTTGAAGGTAGACCATCTTCAGATGTAAAGATGCTTAGAGTTCTGGCCAGAACCAAATTTTGCATCTCCAAAACCAGGGCATTCCATGGCTTTTCTGTCATTTCCCCTCCCTCAATCCAATGTCTGAATACCCTCATTGAAATTTTTTGCCCATTGAACTAGAATTTTCTTTGCTGCAATTTGTGTCTGCTGCTACCACTTGTCCTCTAACTCTACAACTCCAAGAAGAGCCCTAGAGAACACCAAATAACAGAATAGAAGAAGGAAGGCAGAGATCACTGTAGCCACGAGAAAGCCTTTGGACATCCAGAACTTACACTAGGTAATAAGGACCCAGCTTTTTTTGATGTCCAAAAAAATCTTATCTGATCAGGTGTGGCAGAGATCTAAATGAGGCCATCAAAAGGACATCACTAGAGATTTATTAAAGATTTTAAAATGGCGGTTTAAGACATGAGAGAAGAACAAGGAAAAACAGTATTCCAAATGGTATATATTTGCTAATGAAATAAAATAATTTTGTATAGCAAGGTTAGGTACTCACCATCTCTCTCGCAATCTCCACAGCTTCCTGCAGCCCATAGAGCCTGCCACAGACCAGGTAGATCCCATTGGCCCAGAGAATACAACCCTCATGGACCCAAAATTCATTGCTGTCAAGAGGTAGTTCAGGAATTTGTAACTCCAGCTCAGTGCCACCTTCTGAAGTGGGCATAGACGGTTTTGAGTCCAAAGGAGTCTTTTCACCACCACTGCCACCATCAGTGGTTGCTTTTTTACAAGAAGCTCCCCTTGAAAGTGACCGAGAGGCTCCGCTACAGTCCTCAGAGCGGTGCCGCCTCTTAAAGCGGGGATGAGCAGCCAGGCTTCTTTGTTCCTTCTGTTGTTGCTGTTCCTCCTCCTCTTCAGTATCTGTCTTGGAACCATTAGAAGCACTTTTGTGCCGTACCTTGACCTTGCTCTGCATTTCTGTGGCCCTCTTTGGAGGTGGATTCTTGGGCAAGGTAGCTGCATAATCCTGGGGGTAGAAAGGACCAAAGAGGTCACCCATGTTACGATAGCTGGCCCATTTGCCACACAGGCAGCAAACGAGATGCCCGAAGACAGAAGACTCCGTTACTACAGGGCCTTGCAGCATGAAAGTTGAGGTGGGCAGCACTTTGCTCTCCGCATTGCTAGGAGGGGGTGTTGAAGACCTCTGTCCTTTCCGACCCCTCACCAATTTGTTCTGCTCCTCTTCCTCCGCATTTATGATTGTGCACACAGCGCCTAATTCACACTTGTTTACCACATGAATATAAGGGAAAAAGGACTTATTCTTGGAGTCAGTTTTATCTACAGACTGGGTAGCATATTTAAGCTTGATCTCTGGTTCTTGAGGCTCCACGATTGGAGCAGCCCGTCTAGGCTTCCGCTTCCGTGGCTGTGCTGCAGGTTTTCGCCTCTCCCTCCTTTGCCTCTTGGGCTTTGGCTCACCAGCACCCACCCCTTCTGCAGGCTGTGATGGTGCTGGTGGGGGAGGCGGGGGCACAGGCAGCTGCTGCTGTTGCTGCTGCTGCTTCTTCTGCTTGTTCACACTCCCAATTGGCCTCCCTTTTTTCTTTCCAGAGGGGAAATATCCCTTTGGAGGGAAACCATCTGGCTTGGGTGAAATGTTTGTCACATCTCCATCTTTTTCCTCAGACTTTGGATTTGGTTCAGAAATGAATACACTGGAAGGGGGAATTGTTTTTGAGTCAGAAAAGGTCAGAGTTCCAGCTCCACTTACAGATCCATCAGACCTTCCCTGACCACCTGACTTCTGAGAAGGTGCTGGTGCTGCACTGGATCCTGCTCCCTCTTTGCCAATACTGGCGGTCTCGGGGATCTCTTTTTTGTTTTTGTCATCCTCGCTGCTTTGCCACTCTTCTGAAGATCTTGGAACAGTTTTTTCACCACTTGTATCCTGGCTTGCTGGCCCCACTTGGTCTGATATCTCTCCTTTTCTCTTCTCAGCCTCTGGTCCATGTCCAGCCACATTTCCTCCTTCAGACCCACTCTTGAGGGACAGGATGTCATCAAGAGTGACAGTATCTGGACCAGTTTCAGCACTGTTGGTAGAAACACTTCTCCTAATATTGGGAGATGTAATTTTCTGAACAATAGCTTCCAGTTTTAATCCTCGCCCCTTTCTTGGGGGCAATATTTTGGTCTTTGCCGGGCTTGTGAGGGAAACAGCAGGACAATTCCTATTATCAGGACTTGGCAGGTCCTTGAAGGAATCTCCCTTTGCAACTGACTTGCCAGCATCTTGGCTTTGAGATGAATGGGCATAGGAGTTGTATGTTTTATCGGCTCCTTCTTTTGCTGAAGTCATCAGTCGCGCTTTATCTTCACTGCCACTGTTCTTCATATCATGTGGCTGTCTTTTGGTAGGGATAGGAGAGATGAAAGAACGGACCCTCCTCCTCATAATTAATGGGTTTTGCGGAGACTGGTCCTCCTGGCCAGGGAGCCTAAGCATAGCATTACTAGGCTTAGGCAAATCTGTAGATTCCTCTCGTCGATGCCCATCGCTTTCTTGAGGGCAAAATCTTTTTTGGTTTGCTGCTCCAAGAGGGCCGCTGCTTTTGGCAGGAGAAGTTTGTCGAGAGAGGTCCCAACCAGATTCATGATGCTGCAACTTCTGGCTGCCATGTTTCAGTTCGGTGCACTTGCTCTGAGTACCATCACTCCCCATGACACAGCGCCCAGCTTCCTGGCTTCCAGTATCATGGTAAGAGCTACCTTGAAGGTACATCATTCCATCCTTGTCATTTTTTAAGGGACTCCTTACTCTTTCCAGAAACTGCTGTTGTCTTGGGCTCTTTCTTGCTCCTTCCTGTCTGTGCTGAGCTGCAGCAATCACACCCTGAGCAGCGCTGCTTGCCCAATCTTTGTATTCTTCTTGCTGTTGCTGGTATATCTGTCTCTTGTAATGATACTGGGAATTCAGACTCTGGCTGGGGTCACCAAAAGCATGAGGCCTAGCATTCGTGTGATATGCTGAAGCCAGAGATGGGCCTTCCGAATTCTGAGGGTAGACAGAATGCAAGGAACCCCTGCTAACTCTTTCAGATAGTGTCATGTGTGGGTTCATGTGATGCAGATCTGCCCCTGGGCCTCTGCTTCTACCTGGTGACATTTTCAGCTTATCAGCAAGATCCTGATATTGAGAGGGTGATTTACCCCTTCCAGTTCTGCCAGGTCCTCGTCTCATCTGTGTTGATCTGCTGTCCTGCTGGGGCATGTAGTCTGGAGCAGCATCAGAGACTGCAGCTCCAGGGCTGGCATTGCCTCGAAAAGATTCATGCTTGATGCCAGCAGGATGACAATGGTCTCCTGTTTTTTTATTGTTGAGACTAGCTGAGCTCTTTGACTGTTCAAAATCTTCTTCCTTTATTTGCCCACTGTGAGCTTTCATCTTTGTTTCCATGGATACTAAACCACCAGGGAGTATTACTGACTGGCTCAAGCCAGGGGCAAGACGTTCACTCCTTCCGCTTCTGGCCTCAGGACCCATGTGCCCTATGGGGTGAGGGCCAGGATCTCTTACAAGTTGCCTTAATGGAGATATGTCACAGATCACTGATCTCCTCTCTGAGAGTGCTCCTGCCTCATGGGCAGCAGACTGAGACTCCACATCGAACTTTCTACCAATAGGGTAATCAGCTAAATTTATCTGCTTTATGTCTGGAGCTGCACTGCTAGACTTCCTATCCCAGGGACCCCAGTGAGGGCCTTCTAGGAGGGACCCCATGCTTTTGTTTAAGAGGCCTCTATTGGTCAATTCATTGGTTTGACTAATTAAAACATTGGGTCTCATGGCTCCCTCCAAACTCCCAGCCATCCCAGAATGCTCCTGCGCGTTCCTAGAATACCTTCTGTCCGGATGATGGTGGTACCCCTGTAAAACCTCTTGTAGGAGGCTAGGAAACTTCTCATTACGGCCTTTGCGATCACTATGCCCTGGAAAATCCCCCTTTTCTTGACCAGATGGATACTGTGGAAAGCCACCAATACTTCTCTGTACACCAGGTGCTATATTATCCTTGTAGCTGTATCTTAAACTACCAGGAGACTTGGAAGATTCTGTTCTTGCAGGAAAATTTGGCCCAACAACTGCATGACCAGGCTGGCTGTTCCCCTCCCCATTATGGTTAGTGTTATCGCCACTTTTGCTCCCTTTACCTCCTGCTTGAGTTTCTTGCTGTGTCCCTGCATGCCCAGCTTCTTTTGCTCCACTGGTGCTAGCTGGTGCCTGAGGGGCTGTGGAAGCATCATCTTGTGCAGGTTTATCTTGTCCACCTGACTTTTCTACTCTTCCTGCCATGGCTTCCCGGGAGACAATCACCCCAACTGCCTTTTCATTCACTTTTGGGGCATTTTCAACTGCCACCACAGCTTCCTTCCCATCAGGGGAGGCCACATCCTCCCTAGCTGCAGGACTGCTGCTGAGTTTTGATGGCTCATTCTGAGAGCCTTGTGCTGGTGAGGAGTTGGGTCTCTCTAAATTACCCCCTTTGTAAGTGGTGTCCGAGCTGGTGCTCTGGCCACTCAGCTGTCTCACCCTTTCCCCATGATCCTCTGAACTACTGGAACAGCCACCATCCAGGGACTCTGCCATGGGGGACTTGAGTTGCTCCTCTGCCTGGGAGGAGCCTTCTGAGTTGGTGCAGCTGTCAGCCTTCTTGGAAGAGGATGATCTTTTGGAACTTTTTTTCTGAGGTGCCAAGGCATCTGAGAGCAACATGTGCTGGACTGTGTTGGGCAGATTGGCAACTTGAGAACTTAGAGCACTCAGGCTACTCAGTCCTGGATCTGTGAGCCTTTTTTCCTGCAGTCCTTCCAGTCCAAACCCCTTGAATCCACCTGCATGAGCATTGGGGCTTGGCATCATAGATGGTGTAGGACTAAGCTGAGGCATCATCTGCAGGATTCGGTTTCGAGAACCCATGGACATGTTGCCTTGCCCACACTGGAGATTTTCTCCACCTGGCATGAGTGGAGAAGGGGTAGAGCTGCAGCTTGGAGACTGAACCACAGATGCAGCAGGAGACGGATTAGAGATTGGACTGAAGTTTTGGTGGAACTGCATCGGTGACCTTACAGGAACTTCAGTCTGGCTGTACTGTCCCACTTGACTTTGAAGAGAGAGTTTGGTGGCAGCATTTGAATACTGCATTACGTGCTGAGGTGGATGCTGCTGCTGCTGCCCCTGCTGCCCACTTTGGGGTAGCTTAGATTGCTCAAAGCTTTTCATTGGTTGAGTTTGAAAGCTGTAGTTTGACTGGGTGCCATAGGCCTGTGCATTGGAACCCACAGCATGGCCTTCGTACTGCGACCCAGAATTCACATTGTAGCTTCCGTCATAATTCTGTCCTGACTGGCCAAAACGCTGTGGGGAAGGGAAAGAGGAGGAGGAGGATGACGAAGGTGGCTGATAGTGTTGGCTGAACTGACCCACTCGTAACTGGTAGCCTGAAGCAGAGGAAGGCAGGGTGGATGGACGCTGCATTGGCTGCAAGTGTGAGGTGCTAGAAGCAGACTGGCTGGAAGCCTGGGGTAAAGGCTGATGAGATTGATAGATCTGCTGTCTCAGCTGCTGCACCTGCTGCTGCTGGCTAGAAGCCTGCTGCTGATACTGGGCACTCCCTGGAGAAAAAGGACCAGTATAATCCTGTTGATAGTGAGATACACCCCCAAGGGTCGAGTGCTGTGTTTGGAACTGGCCCACATGTCCCTCACTCCCATACTGACTCCCAAAGCTACTCCCTTGAGGGGGCCCATAGCTCTGTACTGGTCCAGAAGGCCTGCGCTGAGGCGGCTGCTGCCCTCCTGACACCACTGGATCTTTGTTGGCAGCCATATAGTAAAACTCTCCTGCTTCTTTTCTGAAACCTTGGTAGCTCTGATGGCCAGAGCTCTCACCAGGCATTGCTGTAGAGGCTCCTGTTGCTCCACGACGTCCACTGCCAGCACCTCCTCCAAAGCTCTGGAACATCTGGGCCTGCTGGCGGGGGCTGAACTCTTCCAGTCGGGATGAAGCGTGCACTTCCTGCGGGTAGCTCTGCTGGTTTCCGTGATAACTACTTTGCTCCCGAAAGGACTGCATGCTGTTCAGCAGCAGAGCAGTAGCTCGAAAGCCCTCCTAAATATGGAGAAAAAGAGAGGGGGAAAAAAAAGATATAATATGTTTCCCAGTCACACCAGTACCCCACTCAATTTCCTTGCTTCAACAGCAACTGAAATTTAGTATTTCTCTTCTACTTTCTGGTACATCAATGTTTAACCCCTTGTCTTGCAACCTGCCAATCTTCCAGGTAATGCAGGCCAGTAGCCCACTACCAGTTGGAGTGCATTTCCAGCATTAACATGTCCCAATCATCATTCACTCACTGGCTGTGTTTTTGTGCCCCGAAGAGACAAACTTCCAACAACATTTGCAAAGCAAATGAGAGCAATCCTCACCGTCCAGCTATTCCCTATGGCTAATACTGGGAGTAATCCAAGTATTTTGCTTCCATGCTTAAAGACGCGACAAGAACCCTGCAATGCTTTCAAACCCCCCTTGGATTTACCACAGGAATGATATCCAAGGTCTGTGTTTCACACTGGGAAGATCTCTATAAGCAGACACTCAAGATACAACTGACCAAAGCTCAAACCAAGACAACCCAATGAAAGGATCTATGTGAGTGTGTGAAAGAACTGGCACCAGCATACTCAATGCTCAGTTCCTGAGTCATTCCAGTGACACTCCTAGGTGAAAACCAACACATCGCATTTCCCCCCTCAGACATCTGCTTTGCTTTACAGGATGGAAAGTTGAAACAAGTTCACTCTATTTGAGCAAAACAGCCTACAACTTCATTCCTCAGGACTTTTATATTATCTTGAATGAAACACAACTGAAAACACTTGCCAGTCAGAATATATATTTTGGAATACCGAGTATGATCTACACTTACATAAGCAACTCATAAGTAAACAAACTCCAGGAAGGGTCTCCTCTGTATTTCAACATATTATTCAGTATGTGGAATTATGACTTACCCTCAAGGACTGGACCACAACTGCAGAATTGTCTGGGGACCCTGGCTAGTCCCTCTATAAAAGCCTGTCACATTACTAGATACATTAAGAAAAGTACGGAAATGAACAAGTATGTAAATGTATGCTGCCTTTAAACACCAAAGCCAAACAAACAAAGCAAAAAACCAAAACCAACCAAACAAAACAAAACCCCCATATTAACAGATGACATAAGTATTTCATGTCTGAAACACCTTGTGGTTTTCTCTTCCTGAAAAAAAAAATGGATAAAGCCACCTGGAGAGACTCCTTCCTTTGAAAGAACGTTAAGACAATGCTCACACTTTTCCAGGAAACAGAACCCCAACTCCTCAGATTGGAGACTTCCTGGAAAACTTGCCTGTATTATGTTTTCATATTTAGCCATGTTTTGTGTTTGCCACGTTCAGCTGGACCCATTTAGAATTAATTTCTAGCTTTGGACTTAAGTTCTGTTCAAGTAGATCACCAAACTCACAAAAAAACCCCAGGCACACAAATGAGATGCAGGCAAGATTTGGCATCCAGTTCTTTTTCCATCTGCCTCCCAAGGTTATTTTTTTTACTAACATGTATGTTATCTACTGAAGACTCTATCCCTGGAGTCTTTCATCTTCTACTATCTGTGTGTGTAGGCTACAGAACACACAGGCACAAAACCACCCCACAGCACGGCGTGTCTCTGCAGCCCCTTTCCTCTAACTCAAAGGCCTCTTTGTGTTGCGGCCTTAGTTCATGCAGGTTGATGCACGTAATAATATTACTAGAATCAAAAGGGAACTGTCAAATTGTTAATACCTCAAATTCTGTCTCTCTTCTTCCAGGAAGTCAACTTTACTGCTGTTTTAATCTTATATTTTAAGTGTCATAAGAGAGATCTGCTGTTCTGCTGAACTTCCACTTTTTTAGCATTTTAAAGACTACATATATCACATGAATAACACTTCTATGAATGCCACTGTGCCAATCTGTCCAATTCAGGCTTATTATGGATAAGCTCCTCCTTTTCTGAATTATCGCTTTTGATGTTTTATTAGTTTGAAGCTCCAGCCCTATCAGGGTAGGACTAAAATTGGGATACCTAAGGCAAGCTTCTTTCTTTTTTTGTGACTTGCTGTTATGGCAAAAAAATGAGGGGGGAAAGAGGGAAAAAAAATACATAGAAGAAAGTTATCAAGCTAAAGGTAAGAGAACATCTACTGCAACTGCAGATGTTAAAAGCAGCTTCTCTAGATAAGCAGTGTGGGGCTCTGCAATCAGCAACATTCACGTGCCATGAAGACTGCGTGCACGCCCTGGCTACCACATGCTTGGCATCCATCCTCTTTTCATGAAAGCAACATTTCCAGCCTCTCACAGGCTCAGTCTCCCACAGAATCTCACACTCAGTTTTTAAAGAGTATTAGCTTACTCTGCATAGTTTGGACAAGATCTCAGGAAGCCTCTTCTGCATTACATCATACAAAAACTTTAATTGATGAATGATATTTGTGCTCTGTAACTCTACCAACAGGCTTGAAAACTGCTATGTTTTCAAGCTAATGTATGCTAACAATGCTGGCAAACATTCTTAAGACTTGTTCACTATTAAAAAGGAGTAATTTTAATTATATAATTAATAGAAACTGCAGAAGATGCTGTAAAATGCCATTAAGAACAGAGATACAGTAAAGGTCAACCAAGGCACAAATACTTATCCTCCATAATCTCATGCAATCATGTAACATTTATTTAGTACAGAAGTTATATATTCTAACTCAAAACAGGGAGAACATATTTTTCTTCTTCTATGTTTTTTTTTTTTTTTTTTCAATCTTGGAATTTACCCTGACAAACAAATAAGAAGTTTTCATCAGGACAATACTTGCTTTGAGTATCTCACAAGGAGCCTAACTTGAGTAACATATCCAGTAGAACAGCTGCCAGAAAAAGGCATTTCATTAATAACAGGAGTAAAAAAAGATAGAACGTGCTCCAACCCATTACATCACTGATAACTTAAGACATATAGCACATTTCCTGTCATTAATGTGCTATAAATACAGAACTATTACAATTGCTACTGCAATAGCCTTTCTTAATAGTAACAGCCCTGTAAAGTCTTATATCTAAGTGCTATACTTTGAGCAAAACCACTGAGAATAATCCCCTGGACAAGTCTTGTTAATAAAGTACATTCAGATAGGTAAGGCCTTCAAAGTCTACCCCCATCCACATGTAAAAAAAGTATCTGTTTTATTATTTTTTTTTTACTGGAAGCCTTTAAAGAAAACATTTTCAGCTGGTACATACTCCTCCTCATGCACGATCTCAAGAGGACAACGCTGCACCTGCCAACTAGAGACTACAACACAATCATAAAAAACAGGTACACATCCATAATGCCATCCCCAGCAGAAGGGACAAAGTCTTGCCTCCAAACAAGTGTTTGTTAACAGCCACAAATTACACACTTTTACAGTACTTGCCAACACGCACAATATGCAACATCTTCGTTTATTCAAAGGGAAGGTAAGAGTCGGCACAGCTTGCACTACTCCAGTGTCACACCTACACTCTTGCTACACGTGCATGCAGCTCTCTCAGTAAAGCTGCATGACTTTAAAGTATTTATAGCCTGTAGCTGTAGAGCCATCTAAGCACATCCATCTAGACACTGCAGACTACACTCACTAGGCTAAGCAGTTTCACTTTGCTCAACACATTCATTTCTCCCCCAACAGCCCAGTAATCACAATTTGCCTTCAACCTGGCAGGAACAAAGGAAACATATTACAAGCTTGTGTGGCTGATAAAAAACAGCCTTACTGTGAATCACTGCACAGAAGTCTTGAATAGGAAAAAGCAATAGGTCCTCTTACCCAAATCTCAGACTTATTTGTGAAACATGTGAAATTATTTCAAGCACTGCATCAACTGACCTTCTTCATGTGAACTTATTTTTAAGCATAATGCAGATTTTCCCTCCCATTTAATCATTTGAAACAGCCTCACAGAAATTTGTTAACACAGTGCTTCCTCAAAATATGAAGCTACTGCATTGTGACCTTGCTGTGTGCAAATTATCCAGTGTTAGTCAACAGCCTGTAAGCATCTTTCAATAGTTCCTGCATGTGCATCAGAGTGCCCCCGACCAGTGCTGATTAACATAACTCATCAGTACTCCCACATCAAGATTACTCTGTGAGATGATCTTCTGCAATGTACCATGCTAGGCCTTCTTTCACAGCCACATAAATCTTTACAACTCTTTCTGTCCTGATTATCAAAGACTGGACAAACAACAGGACAGCTGCCCAGATCTCCCCACGTAACACTGATGCCAACATAGTGATGCATCACTACAGACAGCTCACAGTAAGTGAACTAAAAACCAAAACACTGTGCAGACACGCCTAATTCTTGACTATAAGCCTATAAAGGAGCAAATGAAAGCACCACCAGCTCATTCAGTAGGACATAAGTGAGGTCTTTCCGCTTTGTTAAATTTTCTTTACATTTGGGTTGACTACCGCGATCCATCTGTGCAGAGAAGTCTCAGGCAGCAGTCAAATGCAATATATCTTCAGTGCTCTGTCAAAAGCCTCTCACTTCCTAGCATGCTTATCAGGAAAGAAAATGCAGTTAAAAGGCAGGTGATGAACAGTAAGACAGTATTTTCCATAAGCGAAAATTACACCAAGAAGTTGGGAGGGTAAGAGTGTCCGCAGTTCTGATTAAAATAGACTCACTTGCTAAATGCTGTGCAAGTGACAGATGTACCTGTACAGAGAAGTTTGCAGCCATTTCTTGCCACAACTCATACAAAATGCAAAAATCACTATTTTTGTCCTTCCTTATTCTATCTTCTTCAGCTAGCAGAGAACACACATAACCAAAACAATCTCAAAAGCCAGAACCTGAGTATGAGCAATTCAGGAGTATATTTTGTAAGAAATAATGCCCATGCTCCAAATTCAGCCAGAAATAGAGAAAAAAAGGATTTCCATGTACTGAGTACCATTTCTATTGTCAAGGCCAAGTTGCTAATCCTCATTTCTTCAGGTACAGAGTTATTACCTGCACACCTGATCCATG